GCACATTCATGATTTCACCTACAGTATAGAGGGCACTACTATCTTCTCGAAGATCGACTTATTCAGAGCATACTACCACATCCCTGTTGCCCCACAAGACATACCGAAGAGAGCAGTAACAACCCCATTTGGGCTATATGAATTCCTGCGTATGCCTTTTGGACTGACTAAAGCGGCACAAACCTTTCAACGGTTTATCGATCAGGTCATTAGAGGTTTACCTGGGGTATACGCGTATATCGACGATTTATTAGTAGCTAGCACCACTAAAGATGAGCATATACAACAACTACGGCAATTATTTATACGACTCAGAGAACATGGCATTTCTATAAATATTGAGAAGTGTGAATTCGGAAAAGAATCTTTACAGTTCCTAGGTCACAATATAACTTCTCAAGGCATCACACCAATAGCAACAGAAGTCGACGCCATTAGGAATTATCCCCTACCCGACTCATGGAAAAAGTTACGCCGATTTCTCGGGTTAATAAATTATTACAGACGATTTATCCCGAATTGTGCGTCAATATTGCAACCACTAACAGATGCATTACGCGGAAACGCACGGACATTCCAATTATCACCAGACGCGATTCAAGCATTCGAGAACGCTAAAAAAGCACTAAATAAAGAAGTGACACTAACTAGACGAAAGAGCGAAACACCATTAGCTATCATGACGGATGCATCAGACGTAGCGGTAGGAGCCGTTTTACAACAATTAGTAAATGGCATATGGGAACCGCTCTCATTTTTTTCGAAAAGACTGAATCCGACACAAACAAGGTATAGTACTTTCGGAAGAGAACTCCTAGCGATTTACCTGGCAATAAAACATTTCCGACATATGATTGAGGGTACCATTTTCACAGTATATACAGACCATAAACCCCTCACAAAAGCATTGAACGCCAAACAGGACAACTACTCGCCGAGGGAAATCCGACAATTAGAATTTATTTCCCAATTCACGTCCAACATACAGTATGTCAAAGGCAATAGTAACGAAGTGGCAGACGCGTTATCCAGAACGATGGTCAACGCTCTCATCCAGTCTGAAATCGATTATCACAAGTTAGCAGCACTACAAAATATCGACGTCGAGTTAAACAGACTAAAGTCTGCCAACACAACCTCGTTAGTTCTCAAAGAAACTCCATTGGAAGAAGTAAGCATCACCTGCGATATTTCTACAGGTCAACCAAGACCATTTATTCCAAAGCCGCTAAGGCGAAACATTTTCGAAGCCATGCATAATATTTCGCATCTCGGAATAAAGGCCACCATCAAACTACTCAGCGAACGTTTTGTATGGCCAAGTATGAATCGGGATATTCGTAATTGGACTCAAGCGTGTATAAAATGCCAGAGAGTTAAGATACATCGCCACACCAGTTCCGCAGTAGGTCATTTCCGTCATCCCGATAACAGATTCGAGCACGTACATATCGATATTATAGGACCACTGTCGGTTTCGAATGGCTTCAGTTACATTTTCACTTGCATTGACAGATTCACACGATGGCCTGTAGCTGTGCCCATAAAAGATATTGCAGCCGAAACTATCGCAAAAACCCTAGTAGAGCATTGGATTTCCCATTATGCTGTACCTACTAATATTACAACCGATAGAGGAGCTCAATTCGAGAGCCGCCTCTTCCAACAACTAACAGAACTACTCGGAATCAAACGAATTCGCACAACATCCTACCATCCGATGTCGAATGGTATGGTAGAGAGATTGCATCGGCAACTTAAAGCTTCTCTTACAGCTGTCATCAGCAATAACGATTGGGCCAGCAAGCTACCGTTAGTCATGTTGAGCTTCAGATCAACAATCAAACAAGATATAGAATGCTGCCCAGCAGAATTGGTTTATGGAACCACACTACGTCTGCCAGGAGAGTTTTTCACCGCAGGTAAAAGCGTCCCAACTGATATAGCGGACTATGTACAGCGTCTTAAGCAGCATATGAGTAGTCTAAGGATAACGCTTCCAAGACAACATCAACGCCGTGTGTACATACCCAAACAACTAAGTGACAGTACCCATGTGTTTATAAGAAGGGATAATGTGCAACGTCCCTTACAACCGGCCTACAATGGTCCATTTAAGGTGATTAAAAGAGACGACAAAACTATTACGGTAGACAAAGCTGGAAAAACGGATGTAATTAGCATCGACCGAGTCAAACCAGCTTTCATCGAAGCCTACGATCAGCCAGTACATACAGATACTGCGAAAACCGTTGAATCATCGAAACGTCAGTTCCAATCATCAACGACATCGACGAACACAAACAAAGAGAATCCAGTAACCACAAAGTCTGGTCGAAGAGTAAGATGGCCCCAACGTTATGTCGCTGCAATCTTCTATTAATAATCTTCTACTATTTTAAATATTAATTATAACTTCCACTTCATTGTATACACATGCATTACTAATTTCATGTTACACGCTATAAAACTCTTATGTACCCCTACACTTACACGTATAATTTCTATTTAAAATGTAAAGCAATACCGCATTCCTTCTATTTATTGCTATTATTTTTTATAACCTCACGGACGGGCACAAACCGAATGTACAGCACACACTAACTTCATCTTAATTTTGTACAAACCATTTTTTTCAAACGATTGTAACTACCCTATTCAGTTTACTATTTTTTTGTGCAAACACAGACATTTTTCCATATATCTTTGTTTGCAGGGGGGAGCTATTATAGCGACTCACGTGCAATTGAGTTTAGTTCAGTCAAGGCCTTTTGTTGACCTATTTAATGGACAAAGTCATCCATGATATAACAACTTGTTGTACTATCTTTATTATTATGCTTGTATGAAATACATATGCTTGAACATTGTTTAGCACCTACGCATGTATTCATTCTGCTAGCTTCATTATTAACTGCTTAATCTATTCGCTGACTCATCCATTTTCCTATACATATATATATGTGTACATTTGCACCCATTCACTACTACTACTACAACTACTTGCTACTGCTACAATCGTAGTTCGCTTGCTCATTCATTTTGCCTCTCTGCTGTCTGGTCCGAATTATCTACTAAATAAACTGTAGTAGCTGCTTCTTTTTGCCTTCTGATTTCAAACATCGTTGAAGATTATACGATAACGGTTCGAGGGTGATTAATTATCGAAGCACAGCCACTACATGATTACTTCATTCATACTTTCATCTTTATATTGCGTATAATAGAACTATTTTTGTTTTCCGTTGGACGAGAAGAAGAAGGATAACATGACATCACGGTAAGCTATGCCAGGATAAATAATTTATTGACATCGACTGAGGATTACACAGCTTAAATGGTCTCATTATGAATAAGTTAAACTATCAGTTTATTAAAACTAGTCAGTTTATCAGTAGTGATCGTAGTCTTAGTTCCTACTACCTCATGTATTTTTCAAACGTCCTCATCGTGTGAGCAGAAGAACAGTTTTTTTACTACCATCATTTGATGCTAGCATTGGGTATGATACGGATAATAGAAACCATCACAAGAAAGGACTAGAATTGTATGATAAACCTCATGTGTCGTTGCCAGTAAAGAGAACCAATTATAAATTATCGTGGGCTCCAAATCTCTGAAACGGAGAATTTTAAGTTAGTAAGCAATGCTGATAAACAACACACAGTGAATTACCGTACATTTCAGAAAATATAAAACTGTAAAGTAATACCGATGTCTACTTCGAAAGTATAGCATTATTTTAACTAGATCCACTCGTGAGTGGGAGACACATTGCACTTAAGGTTATGATGGAATTGTGTATTTAGATAATTAATCGAAATCCGAAACATTCGTATCCACAACACAATAAGTATTCAGCTTCTAATATCACTACGCTCAGGCAAACTCAGTCGAAGAACGTATCGGAAATTAAACTCGGCACTCAAGTTTCATCAGAATTATCTGTGCTTCCCTCAGTATTTCTCAAGCCTATCAAAATAGTACTCCAGTAGTTGCGAAAGGCCTTGTATTTAATTCAAAGAGAAAACAACTACCAAACTCAAGATTACTATATTCTGTGTCCCAAATCAGGAGAGAAAAAATTTACAGCTCAATTGTCATTACATTAAGATGTTGCGTACCGTAGACTGGTTTGCTGGAATTCGAACACAACGCATCTTATCTTTCACAACATTCCAATGTCTAGGATATAGCAAAGCAGCGATATACCAGCAGTTAAATATCCTTCCACAAATTATCTGAAGAAAAACAAGGAAGAAAGAGATGATGGTTAAGATGATAGATTTATTTCATCGTATCCAAAGATAACGTTATAAAGTCACATGGGTTAGTAGGAGCAAAAACCTTCAACAATAAATCAAAACGCGATTTATTGGTGATAACTAGCTAACCTTCTCCGAGGAAAAATAAATGTTCAGTAAAATTATTGTAATTAAAACTAACTTTGAAGGCTTACAAAAATGTATATGTTAAGGATTTCTTTATCTCCATAACTATATCTTTTGGTAATGAATCGCCGCTGTAAACCTACAGATGACAACCACAGAAAACACTTTGCACAGATATTATCTATTTTGATATCATTGTATGAAATAATTGCTGCTACCAATTTAAAACTACTGAAGTTACTACATTTAGTTCGAATAATAACCTAAGGGGTAACACCCAGAAACTGGAAACACAACATAGCAAGACGGAATGTAGACACAACTTCTACTCCTTAAGAGTTGTCAAAAGCTGGAATTCGCTGCCGGCCGAGCTAGTCCAAGCGACTTCTCAGGAGTCCTTCAAGAGGCAACTTGACCTATTCTTAAGAACCAAGGACAGCATCACACTATGATTTACTAATTTCTTTTCCTCTTTTATTGTTAACATACCTAGGTTCCTGCCTGGAGAACTTGGTGATCCCCTGCTACTAGACACGGAAGCCTGTTAAGCGAAAGCTTCTTCTATTCCGTCCACAACCATTTGAACATTTTTATGACCTTGAGCATTGTCCTAATACAACTGTGTACGTTACTTTGCTACCTAGGTTACACGCAATGGACAAGCCGCAAATGATAGCACATATAACTAAGTCTGTCGACTTCACGCTTTTCGATTGTAAATGGATTCCAGTTAGTGCCAAGTTTGTAGTTGTTGGTTCAAAGCCTAGAGGAACTGGCGCTATTCAAATATACGATGTCTCTGCGAAAGATATTCAACTGGTATCCGAAGTAAGACTTGGTCAAATTTCAAAGATATGTCATATATAAGCATGTTATACACCATTTTCCGTTGGGATCTATTATTGGGGCTTCTGTGAAGCCCTAATTGTAATTAGGCGGTTTTAACTGTAACTCGACTGTGTTAGTGTTTTCACGCAGACAAAATGGCCAAGCTATAAACAAATGGTTTGACATAGCTAAAAAAGTTTTTGTTTTTAGCATAGGAAATTAGGTGACTTGGTTGATCATGCTAACCTAAAGCATACAATTAATACACATCTTCAAAATGTAGACAGTTGATGATACCACATGATGAAATGACACTGAATCAAGTGTCAGGCAAAATATATGTTTTACTTCTAAAATGGTACTTGGGTGCGGTCAAAACATTTCCTATGAAGCCTTTGTGTGCATATTTATGTCTAGTTCAACTACAGTTTGTGATAGTCTATAACCAAGCAATATATTACTATTATTGTTAAATAGCATCAAAAACATGCGGCCTACGAATTTCTTTTGGTTACAACGCCTTTTTTTATGGCCATGAAATTGTTACGAACCCGCTCAATGTACTCACCCCTCGGTAGGTAAAAATACATGTCGCCTACGTTATAAGATATCAAATGTCATTCAGTGTTAGTCTAAGTTTAAAAAAACATCTTTGCACTCTAAGGAACAGCATAACTCTTTTATTAAAAACTCAAATTATTCTCGAAATGACATGTCTTTTTTTCGTCCATTTGAAACTAATTTAATCCTTGTGGTTGTTTCATATTTTTTAGAGTGAAAAAAGTAGCTCTTTCAAATGTTGTACATTTGGTGCATCCATGCTCCCCCAAAGACATTTAGCCACTGGAGCGTTTAACGGAAGACTAGCAATATGGGATATCAGTAGTGATGGACGCCTTGATAATCCAATTTACGGCGTTCAAGCGCATAAAGAGATAATAAATGCGATAGACGGTGTTGGAGGACTTGGAGTTGGTGAAGGGGCTCCAGAAATTGCCACAGGTAGTAGAGATGGTGTAGTCAAGGTGTGGGATCCAAGACAAGCTAAACTCCCAGTAGCAACTATGGAACCTGTTTCATCTGATTGTAGAGAAAACTCAGTTACTGAAAATAGACGGGATTGCTGGACTGTTGCATTTGGCCACGCATATAATAAGCACGATAGATGCCTTACTGCAGGTTATGATAATGGTGACATAAAGTTATTTGATTTACGAGCCATGAAGGTCCGTTGGGAGACGAACATAAAGAACGGTGTCTGTTGTCTACAGTTTGATAGGAAAGATATATCTATGAATAAACTGGTCGCGACTACATTAGAAGGAAAAATACATGTATGGGATATGCGAACACAACATCCGAAGAAAGGGTTTGCATCATTAGTCGAAAAAAATCAAGGTGCTACTATTTGGCAGGTAAGCCATCTACCGCAGCAACGTGATATATTTATGACTGCTGGTGGGAATGGATCCTTATGTTTATGGCAGTACCATTATCCCAGCAAACGTCAGAAGATAGTGAAGGAAGCAGATCCAGCGGGGAATGGCGACATCGAAGTTTCACAAGGTGTAATCGGTCACTTAACTCAGCTTCAGAATGTCACCTTGTCCACTCAACCAATATGCAGCATAGATTGGTGCCCAGACAAACTAGGATTGGCAGTTTGTGTTGCATTCGACCAAGCAATCAGGATCCTAATTGTTACAAAACTAAATAAACTCTAGATAAACTGTTCTAAAGTTATAACGTAAGCTGTAAAATAGCATGTATATATTGAGGTTAAATTATCGTAATTTGAAAAATACTCCACTTTTTTGTACTCTACCCTTACAATTAAATTAATTATTACAGGGATAAACTGAAGATGCCAAATGTTCCGTGAACTCATCCACCGCGCTGAAGTTCATGAAACAGGTTGCAATTAAATAGTATTTCCTAAAACTTAGTCACATTATTGAACTAGTCAAGTAAAATCACTTAATAAGTTTTCATCTATTATCTGCTAGTAGAAGCATAAATCACAACACTTATCGCGCAATATAACTGGAATGCTTGACCATTAAAAAGAGACTATATTAGATCCATGTTGTCCAGGAATTACTAACTTCTGATGCAAATAATCTAATTCATTCCTAACTCTCCAGCCATATGAATGAAAAACTAATTCCTAACCAATAGGCAGCTGTACTTTTCACCTTGTGGTCGCCAGTTTTGTAGACCTGGAGTCTTCCAATAAGGGGTTTCCGAAACCGTATCGTTCCTGATAATGTATACTAGGGACTAAACTGAGAGGTTCCTTAACCACAATTACCGTAACTCATACGACTTTATTAAGACAATGCTTGCATACCATAAGCGCCACTCATTTTTGTATATGGGATATTTTATTGGAGCATTAGTTTAGGAATGGTTTATATGCTTAAAAAAATGATAATACTTTTTGACTCCCCTATGTTTATGACCTAGAATGTATTTTCAAACATTCATGCGCTTTGTAAACATGAAAATAAGAAACAGTGTGATCTTTGTAAGTGTTTAGAGCAGATAGTGAGTTTTTAAGTAGAAGTTTCGCCAAATGTTTTGGGAATGACAAATATCCCTGATCGTGACTTTCACATTATCCACCGCATTAATGTAAATACATATTATACAATGTTTATGAAAATCAAGTAAATACTAAAGATGATTTGTTGGGTACAGTATTAAATCAAATGATGAGAATTTCATTTGCCGGCTTTTTAAATATTTGTTAATAGGCGAGGTTAAGAGTCCGAATCGCACAATGCAAATGCATTAAATTCCGAGCAATTTATTGTACAGAAGAAAAGTAGGAGATGGGATAAGAGAAAAGATATGTATATATCTTATCACTATTACATATGACTTTATAAGTTTCATGAACACGTTTTGTCTGTATCCTAATGGGAATGTCACTCAAGATCTGTTCTAGTTTGCAATTTAAAAGATAATCACTGGATTGAAAAGCTTTATCTATGATTGCTATTTTTCCAAGTAAACAAACGAAAACCTCACAGGTAACTGCAGACTGCATTTGAAAACAGGCAATTATTTAGTATCTATAGTGTCTGAAAGTTATACACCTCATTTGTTTACATCCTATCCAGGTCATATTTCAGCACTGATAAACCTGGTCTTACTAGATGCTACCACACCAAGTTATCAGTATGGTATGTTATATTTGTTCACTGATCAACGGACTAGCTATATGAACATGTATTCCGGAATGCGGGTTATTAAATATATGAAGAGTTATTAAACATGAATTGGGTGGCTGTAAGTTACTTATGTGTTAAGTAATAAATCGACGACAAAAATAAAGATCACAAGATGACCAATCACTATTCACTATTGTCTATCATAGCATTAATAAAATGCTGTAGAACAATACACTTGATAAAAATAAAACATTTTATTACTGACATAAAGCCAACAAGAGAAAACTCAAAACAGTCACACTCTTGCAAACTATGTTTAATGTGAAATACGAAGTCTCTAGATCTTTCCAATTATATTCACGAAACAACAAGCATTAATGAAATTACCACCATATCAACAGACAATAACTTAGTATGTCATACTCAATGAACGCATTAACTAATTTCTTCAGGAAAGATTCAATGTTATATTGTCCACTTTTCAGTCCTCATAGAAATCTCTTAATAAAGTATGACATATTTGTTGCTCGAAATGATTATGATATGACGGTCAAAAACAATTGATAAGCTTCTTGTCAGTCAGTCAGTCTTGTAAATTGAATACATTCAGTACCTAATGTAACATAATATTACACCATAATTAAGGATACCGAGGTAATCCATTTCATATATGGGGAGATGGCTTAGTGGTTAAGACATTTAACTGTATAGTGGCAGGTTCAGGAGACTTCAATTTAGTTTGCATATTACCGGTATCACTAGTTCTCATACCTAAAATGCAATTAAAACAAAAAGGTCAGGAATTATGAATCACAACAAATTATAACGCATTGGTTATACACGTCCATTTTCTGGAGGTCAGTTTTTCCTACATACTTTAGTCTATCTTCACTTACTTATTTTCATCGAAATAAAATGAATTTTCATTAAAAAAAACCATTGTGTAATCAAGGAATTAACATTTGTATTGTTTCAGCTACAAGTAAAAAATATGTAGTACTTTACAAATTTATGTGTACATATTGGGTGATGAAAGAAACAAAAGAACATATAAATCAAAAAAATTAGTGTATAACTTTTTACATGAAAATATGTAGGCTTTATATATATATATATATATATATATATATATATATATATATATATATATATATATATATATATATATATATATATATATGAAACAGCATGGAAACTGACGAAGCTGTTTTGAATATGTATAAAGCAAATAAGAGAAATGGTGATATTCCGCTCTAGATAAGTTCCATTATTTTCCCTTTCTAATTCTGAAATTTTAAGATTAATTATTTCGAGGTGTAACATTTAATTCACGTAATTGACGAATTATATCTTCGAGTTTTTTCTTTCGACCACGTTCCTCTTTACGCATTGCTTGAAGGAATCCAGTACGTTTTTTATCGGAATCACGTAAACGTTCTAATAGTTTAATTGCTACACTCGGTGGAACACGATCATAAGCACTGCCTATTAATGAATTGAAATAATTAAAAAAAAAACATACACAATATTTGTGTTATAAAGATATTGAAATTAACTTGTAAATTGTATTTTAGTAAAACTTCACTTAGATAAACTAGAAAAGAACCTTAATATTTTTACAATAACTCTTATCACTTTCAAGTCTAATACCAATTCGTTGTATAAATTGTTCCACCAAATGTTGCTTGAAAAACAAAAGACAATAATGAAAAGCTTATAATCCTAGAATGATTGTGTATATGAATTACATTATAGAAATAAGATTTGTGTTTATGTAGGATAGATGAAAATGTACCAAAAGTAGATTTTACATATTGTAGGAGGAAACTTAAATGATAAATATCATCACTGTGTGTACATTAAAATATCGTCTGATAGTTTATAAATCTGCACGATACATTTCATTACTAAAAAATAATTTGAACAATAATTAGTTTCTTAAGAGTTATCTCATTAAACTTGCTCAGAAGAGATTAAAATGAACTCAATACAAAAGACAATAAAATCCTTTGATTTAATTATTTACAGCTTATTTGTATAGTAATTAGTACAATATGTATTCGTTAACAAATTGTTAGTTTGTAATAAAGCAAGGGATTTAATACTTATTCATCATAAAACAGTAGCTTAGTAGTTAAAAGATTTCAACCCTTACATCGTATAGATTTAAACTCTACTTAACGCATGGTACGGCCGGGTGTGGGGAGAGCCAACTCTCCCTCTCGAAATGCTCTCACATGGCCACGTGTATACAGTCACTGCCAGAGAAATCCTTCTCGCGCCACGCGTGTTGTTTACGAAATTGAGAGAACGAAAAGCGAATGCCCAACGCTTTAACCGGGTTGATGAATATGGATCATCCAGTTAGGGGAGTTGGAAAACACTGATTCCGAACCAATGGTGCACAATAGCTCCAGGATCCTAAGGAAACAAATGGCGTATGAACCTATCGTTGGTCACCGGCTGCCATGGAACTGCATCTCCCAACGTTCCCCAACTGTCTTGTGGATCAGGCCGAAGGCTCCGGGTGTGGCCCCCTAAGAAAACCACCTATTCGGTCTGGGCACCCGGGCAGTATCACAGCCCTCACATATATCGAATGAGATTTGTGTGGCGCATATCTATTGAGTGCCCCTTCATGTCAATATTTATGTGTTCAAGTAAATAAATAAACTCCACTTATCATAATACAATTTAGGCAGTCCACAGTAGTAATCATTAGTCAATACACAATTCAAGGTGTAGGTTAGAGCTGAGTACAAAAATTTGTAACTAATGAGTTATTATTATTTTCTAATATATTTATCTATGTAACCATTAGAAATGTTTTAATCAAGCATACAGATGTGTTGAGGTGATCCAGAAAACTTCTCGCAAAAGACAAGAAAGGCTCAGGAAACACTACGAAGCATTTTGTTCAATCAGAGTTCAGTAGAAGTTTAGCCAAAAACATCAAGAAAGTGAAAAGTCACATGTGGAGTTTCTGATTGGCTGATTACTATACTACTATGTTTAGTAGCATCCCAGAATTTTCGGGAAACCCGGGGACATCTAAAAAAAGCTATAAAAACCCTATATTTTTTGTACTAAAACGAACCTTTGGAGTAGAGTGCTTCTCGCATATTTTGCACCTTTTATCTCGTGTTCAGGTTGCTGTACTGTTCTAGTTTGGCGGTTACGAGAATAGCTTAAGAATCGAATATAGCGTTCAATTAGCAAGACTTATCAAGATGAAATTTTTCCAACAAAAATACACTCATCTCTATTATTTTTCTGTCAAAAAAAGACAAAAATACCTATTCATTGAAAAAAATGTATATGTAGCACATTCGTTTTGTTCAAAACTTACCATATTTTCCCGATCCTAAACAAAATTTTTATGGAAAAAAAGAATAGATAAGAATTATTTTTTTTCGGAATATGAAAAGTGGGATACAGTTCATTAAGTGAAAAACGAGTATACAAAATAATATCATGTATTCTACAATGTATAATAGACATAAGACATTCCAGCCTATGACTTATTATTTACAGAATCAAGTGAAACATATCAAAAGATGTATACCTGAAACTATACATTATGTTGAGAAAGTTTCAATTATCCATAATTCAAAATCTATGTTGTGGATACAGTAACAATTTGTTAGAACCATGCTTTAAACCATGGAATAAACTTGTAGTTTTCTTAATTGCCATTTACATATTACTATTTCAAACTAATAAATATTCACAGTTATATTTTCAGCTTGTTGATCATAGTATTTCTTTTGTAGAATTTATTTGTTTAAATCTTATTTCATTAGTTTACTAGAATTTTGATCATGTGAATAACCTCGTCATTTTTTAAATACAATGATCTTATGAATAAATACGTAAGTAACATGTCGGTAAATACAATCACATTGAATTAAATTAAATTACAGCAAACTTATTTTCAGATTATTTGACAGCTTTATCTAGAATAAGAAAATGGTTTATCATCAATCGATTTTAAGTGAGAGACAAAACACTATGTAAAAGAGCCATGGGGAAAAATATATAGCCTTTCAATTATCATCAATATAAGGCCTGGTAGAAATATATATCGAGGCAAGTTACCGCAATTCATGTCAACATAGCGAGATAGAAAATTAAAATGATGCGAAACAAAGAAAAGATTATATCGACTGCAATGAAAATCTAAACTTGAGAAAGGATAAAATAAGATTAAGGAATAATAATGTTACATATAGTGAAACATTTTGGGTTACGTAATTTTAACGTCTCCAACCGTTAGAGAATTCATGACAGTTTTGTGGGGCCTAACCAGAAAGTTTGGGCAGTTAATGGCTTTTAGGATTGATGTTATTCACATCCTAATGTGCCTACACCAAACACATTTTTAACGTGCTATGTCGACTGGCAATGGACGTTAAGGTATGTGGTGGAGAATAAACACAAAATTGCTACATAAAGGGTAATTGTTAGGTTGTATGATGTCAATAAACAAGCTTCTTATTCGTGAGCCCAGATGGCTAGTTGAGTGAGGACGTTTTTGGTTGGCCCGCCAAAATGAGAAATTATATATACCCCCTCGAAACTTAAGCTATATTTATACACCGATGGTGTGCATCTCATGCTTTAGAAAAGATAGACACATGAGAAATAAATTTAATTACAAAAATGTGCGTGATTATTACTACTAATTTTTAAAAATCTGATACAAAGTATCTTGCAGATAAATCATGAACATAGGACTGGACATTGTGATAGAAGTGACTAGTTTGCAAGTTGAGGTTATCACTAGCGAACATTATCAGTATTCAGTGAATAATAACGGGGTCATCACTAACGAGAAAGCAGTAAAATCATATCTATTTTCTACTCAAGACATTAAGAAAGTAATAAAGCTACATAGATCTTTTTTTCATAAACGGACAACGGCTGAGAAACCATTAAGAAGTAAGTGCCAGTGAAGAGCCTTTTAATGATAGTTTGAGATTGGTTAAGAAATTGAGCATATCTATGAAGTGCACAGGATCTTTGGAATACGACGTCATTTAGCGACCGAGCTGAAATTCAATGATATTAAATGATGCTCATGCTGCTTGTTAACATCTTCAGTTAGCTACTGTTTGAAGTCATGAGTACGTTCAGCTGAAGTCTTTCAACTTACAGAGTGTATTGTACTATCCAGCTACCAAGTTTGGAATGACATAATCAACACTTTTATTCTTGGTTGAAGTGAAAAATTCTTAACTAAAAACGTGCGATATTCCAATAGATCTCATATTAACGTATATATAATATTTAATTATTTACGAAATACGTATGAAAGAATATGTCAACAATGTTAGTCAGTCATTTCATCTTCAGTTATGAAGTTTTTGATCATTTTCGTACCGCATAATATATTCAATTATTTGATTCCAGAGCACACCTCGCTTCTTCAAAGAACAGACAAGAACAAAAACGTTCCAACTGTTGTGATTTTCCTGGTTCTATCTTATTGTAATGAGTATCATGATAAGTTGTAGACCTTTTAAAAAACTGTGTTAATTCATTTTGCAATCTAAATACACAGATACTTTTCTGAAACAAATTTAAAGGGAGTTTTTTTGTAGTAGCTACGCAGTTTCAAAATCGGTGTTTAAGAGCTTGAACATGTAATATAATCCATTAAGTATCATTAACCTTCAATACCACATCAGTCGACAACAGATCAGTATGAAAACACTGGGTTAAGCTACTATTATAACTTTTGTTTATCGACCAACATTTGTATCTGTAATGCCTCATTCAAACCTTAGAAACAAAATAAGTAAGCACGAAATAATACAGTATGTACATTTCAAGCAACTTCACAGAACACATAAAAAAGATAACTACTAACCAGTAACATTTTTACGAAATGCAATGTATGAAGTCCAATCATCTTTGTGATATAAATCCAATAACTGTCTTAAATCAGCAAAAATCAACCAAAGAGTAGTACGATCTAGGCCTGGAACAGGTTGTGAACGTGCAAATGATTCACACAAAGATAAATCAATACTTAATTGTTGAAGACCCGTTTCAGAAAGAGAACGCACCTAAAATATAAAGTAAATGCTGTAAGGAAATAAAAGGAAATCTTGTAAAAAATTAAAACCAAAAAGATCTACACCATGAATTGAAAATTCCAGTAAAAAAATACAGAAGTCTTGAATTATACAACGTAATATCTATTGGTACTTTTATCAATAAGTGGTATATATAAGTCTGAAAAATTGAGATTTAGAGAAACTGATCATTTTTATGAAAATCTTTAGCAAACCAGTTTGACAAACAACTTAGAAACACTAAGCAACCTTATCTACACGGAGTAAACACAGATAACCTATTCCTGTTTGGTGAAGACTATGTGATACTGCAGAGCCGCCTGAGACCTTAAATATTACAGGTTTCAAACAGATAGCGACTAAACATCGAGTTATCAAATAGTATCCCATAATTTTGAGAGAATATTGAAAAACTATTAATCGTAAGTCTAGGTCATTAAACAATGAAACTGTTGTAACGTGTGGACTGCAGGTTAGATGCGCAGCGTTTTATTGATCGATTCAGTGACACGTAATGAACGGCCTAGAGTCTCGATTGGTCCCGCTTCCCTGTCTATCCCAGCCAGTTGAGCCCAGAACGCAAGTCAGCCTCTGAGATATGAATCATTATGTTTCAAACACACTCTTTATATACTAATCAAGTAGACCACATCGTACCATAAAATAGAAAATAACATTGTACAATATTGACCAGTAGGAAAATGACACGTGAAATAAACATGGACCAATGAGGAAATGACACCATCTCAAGTCCAAGGATAGCGTTAGACTTAACAGAATAATTTTTAGGATATTTTTCTGAATATCTCAACAGAAACACTGATTACCAATACGGAATGATCGATGTATATTTAGCGTATATTCTAATCAAATTATTCAACTGAACATGTATAGACAAAGTTTATCTGAGTTGAAACAGTGAAGTTGATTAAATTATACAAATATCAATTGATTATAACACAAAAAAATATTTTAATCTGTGTATGCAAAACAAACATTGGTGTACTTGAGATTTATGCATAAATGTGAACAACTTCCAATACGGTTGATAAACGAAAGCGAAAAAATACCAATAGGGTCGAAAGTCTGAAACTCCAACGGAATATGATATAAATAATGAATATACATGATCGACCCTTTTTCTTATTCCTTTCTGTGTATTATATATATATGCATCTGAATAGGTTTAGCCCAAATAGACTTCTTTCCCCACTCTTTGTCTCTCCTCTCGAGCGGCTAGGTTTGTGGGGAAGTTATTTACACTTAGGTAATTAAGCCTATCAGTGGTTAATGTCTCATCGTTTGGAAAAATCAAGATATTTGTTGAGCCTATCACGTCCACGTGTCATTTGGAGTTCTCTGAATGGTCCAATGTAGTAATATATATACGCTTTCTACAAAAATTTGTGTATTTTTAAGATAGATTTCACGGAAAGAGCACTTAGAAAGCAAACATCATTTGATAGCTTCTGGCTGCATTCTACTTCTATAATATGGCTGAAGTTGTAGATAGAAACCAATGTATTTTGACTCAATATTTTAAAAGTACTTGTTGACCAAGCAGCCTGTATATCTCCGGTTCAATCTTGTGTGGGGTTACGGTTTTGTATGGTTGCGTACAGAGTACTAGACTAAAAACGAAACTGGTTTCATGCTTTCTGCTTTTCAATATTTCTGCAGTTGGTTTTAGTTCACAACAGAAAAAAACTATGTTGAAAAATAAAAAAATAGTTCATTGCCTACGATGAACAGCTGTCCTATATTTCACATGGTTGAACTCCATTGATCAAGGTTTTGCTCTAATTCTGAATGTAAGAAAATTATCTACAACAAGCGAAGGGAAATAGTCGCAAAATATTGTGGACCGGTTGACGTTAAACATACATACTATTGGATACCGATTCAGTGGTCTAAAGGTTATTCATCTGCGCACGAAACTGAGGGCGCCAAATAACACTAGAGTTCATTGAATAATGTTCAGTCACTTTACCACTAAATCTTAATTATGTGTACCTAAATTATGGGACAACAACTGATGGCATAAACAGTTTTCAATGCTTAAAATTTGATAACCTTCACGTTTATTTTTACCAATTATAACGAAAAAGGAATTACGAAGATGATTTAGTTAAATTGTCAACATATATAAACTTACTTGAGAACCAAATAAAACATCATACAATAAACGAGCAATATGTTTACAGACTGATATACAAGCAGTTTGCGCGATTTTCGGCGGAAGGTTTGAAAATGAATCGAACACTGATTTTAACCACGATGTTAAATGTACAATATTTTCAGTTGGTTTAATTTTTGTATTAGTTATATAACTTACACCATTACGTCCATCAACAGTTTGAGAATTATTTAATAATTGATCATTTTTATTGGTATTATTGTTAGTTTGACCACTATTATTATCATCAGTATCATCATAGTTACTTAAATTAATGAATTTCGCAACATTATCCTTTAAATGATTACAAATTTGATCTTCAACCAATACACGTATATCTTTAAGTAGTGATGCACCTTGTAATCGGCTACGTGGTGGATTAGCTCCAGAGTTTAACGTAACTGATGTAGTCATATCTGGATCTTCACGTTGATTATCCTGAACAAAAAGATTTTACGAGAACTAGAATTATTTTTAACGTTAAGTAAATCCAATAATTAATTTTTTAAAAATATTTGAAAACAGAATGACATTGGAATTCAGGCCATGATGTTTGTGAGAGAAGTATATGTGAATGATAGGTAAAATTAAATATGGAAGAATTAGGGAGTATTGGATTAGTGGTTAAAACAATCGACGTTTAACCGGTGAATTGTGGTAGGAACCTGGCTATAACTTCTTCAGTTTAAATAATACGGCAGCATAATTATCTTCAAAACAATATCATGTGGTTTGCAATGAAGTACAGGAATTTAAACGTGATAAATAGGCAACATTAGGGAAAATTAAAACAATAGGTGATCCAAGACACGGTGATGTGGAACGACGAAGAAAGTCTTAAATAATTATATATATCTCACTATGTAACACTAGCTGGTTGAAGAGCTTTTTTTCTGAAAGTTTAAACTCAGGTGAATATATACTGAAAATTTATCGTGAAAATAAAATACGCCGTAAACCGAATAGTCTTCGCTATTATGAAGTATCATACACTGACATCATGTGATCCTCAAGACGAGAATGTATAGTAATAGTATAGTCATACAGTAAACAATATGATACGAAAATTTCGTTAACTGAAATTCCTCATATTTGTACCACCTCATTAACGAAACAAATAAATCCATAAAACAATCCGGTGGTTAACTATATTTATTAATTATTAAATAGAGTTTAATAATTTATGTTATTAACCTAGAATACCATATTCTTCTAATTTCTCGATGCTTTTTGATCAACATACGTCTTTTAAAAGCTATTTTCCATTTCTCATGTCAACAATTTGCATGAAGTAGGCGATGATAATGTTATCAAGAACAATAATGAAAGCTTTGTAATTAGACTATCTGTTTCAAACTACATATCACCAAAATAAACAGGTAAGTTTCGGTTATTCATAAACGACATAGAGTATGTAACAAACATGTATTAACATACAGCACTGGTATAAAAACATATCAAAAAAGATAGAAATAATATACTAGCAATGATCATAAGAAAGACTGAACATTGAGAAGATAGTTCGAAAAGACAGAATGAATGGTAGAAAATGAAGCGATACTAAAATTTTAGATCTGGAGGAGGATAAAGAGGGAAGGCAGTACTGCGTCACTATGACTTATAACAATTTTAATCGAGGTCTCAAATCACTGACTGAGGTTGTCGATCGGACAGGTATATTTAATGTTAAGTGGTTGGAGATAATAGGTAGAAAGTTCTAGGTTTAGATCTACTGTGACTTGAATCTCCATTACAGACAGAAGCGTCGTCGCTGAGTTATTCAGGAACCATCTGATTTACTATTGTAGGACTAGGACATTTTATACTGATTTATTAATGATTAATTATCAATTTCAATATTTTACAAAGTGCTTAACCCTAATATAATTATACATGTCGATTTGCAATATATACAGCTACGCAAAGTAGCATGACAAGGCATGAATGAATGAGTTGACCAAAGTTCACGTTATCTGTTTGTTTTGTTTTGTTTTCGGGTAGTTGAAATATCAACGCAATTCAATTGGCGTGCAATACTTTTCAAACAATTAACAGAATGAGCTAAAACCTTTGCAAGTATCACTTATGAATAGAGTATACAAAATCTGACATTTATAGTGAAACCATTCACTGATATTTTGATGTGTTTTTTTTATTTAAATATTCACTATAATGTGAGGAATCTCGGTGTATTACTTTCTAACATTTACAAAATAATGCTTATGATGACGCTTATTCAACAAATAAAAAGCGAAATGCTAAGAAAATTATTCCTAATTGCTCAGTAGTTACAAAACACTATTAGCATAATGTAATCCTACGAGTATTTGGTTTTCAGTGTTATTAGGGATGATAACTACTACTGTCCTCATTGTTATTGCGTGGGGTATATGTATTCGGTACCTCCTTGTACCAATGTTTATATGTTCCAATAAATCAATGATAACTACTACTGAGGTTGTCGATTTGTTAACACCTTATTTTCGACCCCTTACCACTGAATATGGAGATCAGATAAGCGAGCTGAGATATTCTACATTCAAAGTTGATATCTCCTAATCCCCCATTTCATTATCAGAAGGAAGCATTGCTACAGAAACCGGTTGTTTGAGGGAAACACCTTCATGCTGACACACACTAGTACAGCTAGCAGGATGACTTTGTTCTCGGACCTGAAGTTGATGTCTCGAAACTTATCATTCTCCAACAGACAAGCCTGGGATGGTAAGATCTAAAGGAATAAGTGTTCCAACCAATATAACTCGACTAGGTCATTGTGATATCCAAGACCGAACACCACAGCAAGGTAGTAGCCCCAATCGGGGTCCTATAAGTGTAGTCACGATTGTTATTAAATGTTTTATGAATAACAGATTTGCTTGAAAAACATGGCTCATATTGATTCATAGTAATATGATGAATTAAGAGTTCAGTATATATGACAATAATATCAAAAAAAAGGTAAATCAGTAAAAACTTATAAGTCTTTTCTAAATGTAATATTTAATACAGAAGATAGAGAAACTTACCCTAATCATTGCGAAATCTTTTAGACGACCACTGGTTATACTTGAAGCCTCATCTAGCAAGGTGTATTGAAGATAGTTATCCAAATGCCCACAAACTGTTTCTAACTCATCCAAATTTATACAGAATTGCGTAAGTCGAGGTAATTGACGTAAAGATGAACGAACGCCCGAAGTTAAAACTGTATTTAAACATTGACTGAATAGGAAATTTGTAGCACGATTAATTGTATCCTCTAGTTCTGTGTATGCTAAATCCATATTTTCACAAAACCGATAACACAAATTAATGTATTCACGAACAGTTTGATAAATTTTAGGTACCATCCATGAAAAGCACAACTGTTTAGGAAATGGAAGTTCAGAAAACTCAACTGTATCGCCTGGTGGATACATTTCAAGGAATTCAGCTAACTGTTCCGAATTTGATATTTTAATTGTTTCATAGCTATCTTCAGCAATTATTGTTTCAAACCTACATGAAAATGTGTCAACACAGAAAATTTCTATTTGAAGAAGAATTGTAATTCAAAACAAATACAGTGATAAAGTCGTTTCAAAAAGGTTCAGACTTATTGAAACACTTATCTTCAATGAGACTGTATGGTGATCGCACTATAACTCGAATTGATTGAAGTTGGAATTATACCATTGGATGTCAGCTAATTATAGTGGCTACATATTCACCGCTAGAACTAAATGCCCCGGGTTTGATCCTCGGTGGCATTGTTAGCGGACACAGCTCAAAAGTTCAATACTAAGACAGAAAAGCTGTCCAGTGATCCCTAGTTTTTAAGAGTTCACCAAATAAAATTATTCTGCGACGAACGTTACCTACGAAAAAGGAGGTTTTTTCTATATAAATCTCTTTTGGGTTAACCATATGCCAAAAAAACTACAAAATACCGGTGACAATTTTGAATCAATATTTACTAATCAACTTGGATGAATTCAGCACGTCAGGATTATTGAAGCTGATTTGATTTAAATAACACTTGGCACTAAAGAACATAGCAAGTTTTAAGCAAAGATGTATGGTGGCTAGCAGTAAAATCCATTTGCGACTTGTCAGCTGGATGTACTTGCACCCCAGAGTTGATATTCACTCCAGGACTCAAACCCAGTACTTTTAACTTCAAACGCTATCGGGTTATTGGGTAGCAATAGTTCATTACCAACTTAAAAACGTACAGCTGTTATTTCAATTCGCGTCTCATATGGGCAGAAACGCAAGTACATGAGTCTGCTGAATCAGAGATGATAAAACTTCATATTTAAAGCTATCCTATCTCTTTTGCGCTTAATAACTACATTGTACAACCATACTTGAAAGAAAAACAAAGTAGAGCTTTATAAGAGAATAATTTAGGGGTCAGGTCGAAACTAAATTCATTTTTCGCTAGGAGTTTATGATCACACATCTTATCATAATCATAATCTCAAAGCCAATATAACTATTTAGAATACCATATCCGTAAGCATAACTAAGAAACTGGTTTACTTGATGAGACTAACTGTATTAGTCAATTTTATCTAATTGGAATTAGGGATTGCTGCCGCATAGTAGAACCACACAGTAAGTACGCTGGGGTTGGTCATAGGAGACCAGAATAATCAACAGATGAAACCTAAAAATTTCATCGATTAGTTTAGTCAAGAAATGTTATGGAATAACTAACCACTGTCTACCTCGATGTGTAATACAGACCAATAAAAAATCAGGTTGGACAGAAGTTAGGGGGCTCAGGAAGATCAGGATATAGCATGGACCCATGAAGTCTGAGGTATATCAGTAGGCATAATTTGCGTACTTCACAGTCGGAAACGTTAGACCAATGCAGAGTTTTACCATGTTCTATGTCGCCTATTACTGACTGAATGAAACTGAACTTTAACAATGAGATATTGATGATAACCATCTTAGCTTACATTGATGGTGAAGGTTGAAAATTTCAGATTGTCAAAATTTATCTATATGACTTTATTCCTGTTTCATATAAAATAATTTCGACAAGTAAATATGTGATTAAATCACTCAAAAATTGTACCCGTTAGAAGACATGCAATATCTGAAAGTGACTTTGGTTTTTGACAGTATAAATAGAAAATACATGATACATTAAGTATTTGTCTTTACAGTTTATCTGAAGTAGAATATTGTGGCATGTATGTTTATATTAAGTTGAAAATGGGATTCAATAATCATGAATAAAAACAGAGGATTACTTCTGAAAAGTTATCGAAAACAAAATGGAAGTGAAATGGTGGAGATCTACAGCTTAGGTGGGTGATTTTAGTGGAATTCGGATCCATCAACTGACAGAGCGAAGCTCCATCAAAATAAAGTGGAAATAAGGAATCTCGATACAATGGTCTATAAAGAGTTGATTAGAAAAAGATATTTCAGAAATTAAGTTGTTGTAAAATTATTTTTCAAGCCTTATAGCATAAATACACTGTGCCTGGGAGTGGAATGCACGATGAGCACGTCTCGTTTTGTCTGAGACCCATCATGTGGATATATCTGTATCTTCACGTAGATCCTCAAACTGAGACTAGAGCTAAGTAACTTCCACTTCGAATGACATGTTTTTCCCTGGGTTACTGAGTTCAGATAACCACTAAATTATTCAACATATATCACAGTGCGTATTATTACGGTGAATTTATATATACTGCTGAATGACTTTAAAATTTTAACGCGTTTTAGTTAAGCAGAAAGCAACAAAAGTAAATGAATAATTTTTAACAGAAAATGGAAGAATTTACTGAGAATATATTAGATTAACATAAATGAGAGATCCTTCAAAGTGGATCATAGGGACTCGAAGTCTAGCACATAAAATATGGTGCCCTAACCTTAATTCCAACACTATAAATTTTGCAATTAGCATTAATTAAAATGGAACACAAATACATTTCGTAATTTTTGTAAATAAGTTTATCGTTACTTCACTTTCAGCATTCACGTATTGGTATTTTCCTGAATATTACAACGCTTTGTAAATATATTGTTATATTTACCTTGGTGAAATTTGTCATAATGCGATCCAACCGTTAAATTCACACTTATTGTTAACTAAACGACCCCCGTGACTATATAAGTACCGTAACCTTGAAGTCAGTTACGTGTCCCTGATTGGTTTGGGAGTATTTTGTAGGCAACTCATTATTGCTGGCAAAACTACTAATGACCTCGTTGTTGATATTCATGACTATTAATAAGGTCAAACCAAAATTTAGGTCTGAATATCAACAAATTAGTGATTCTTAAACTCACAATAACAGTAGTTTCTTGGATCTTTATAATTCCCTCCCAATTTCAAATTTACTTATTTAAACACATAAATATTGGTACAAGGAGGCACAAAATAGATACGCGTCACAAAAATTATTCGGTTTGCGTAAGGGATGGGATACTGCCCGGTTGCCCAAACGGAGCACGTGGTTTTCTTAAGGGACCACACTCGGAGCCTTCTACCTAATGGTCTAATCCACAAGGCAGTGGAGCAGTCCCGTGGTAGCTAATGATCAAAAATAGGTTCATATGCCATTCGTTCCATCGGTATACGGGAGCCCATGTGCACCATTGGTTTGGAATCAGGGTTTTCCAACTCCCCTGGGTAGACCCTTCGTGTCCACTAACCCGGTTCGCTTTTCTTTCTCTCAACTCCCTAAACAACACACCCACCGCGAGAAGACAGTGAGTAGGACTTCACTGGCAGTGGATGTATGCACATGGCCATATGAGAGCACTTCGAAAGAGAGCTGACTCTCCCCATCCTCGGCCGTATCAATGATTTGAAATTTTTGAAAGTTAATATGCTCCCCTAAAAGAAAGTGTCTGCTTTTCACGAGCAGATAATACAATGGAGGAAAAATTAGTGACATATTTGTCAGGATTGACTGGAAACGAATTACCGAGATGATTATTTTTATTGTAGGGTTTCTCAAGTTTTTTCCTATCTCTTTTTTCTTTTTCAACATTACGGTGCTGCGAAAATCGGTTTAGGAATGTGTACGTGGGGTTACACACACATAGGTAGGAGAAATCGTTATCTGCAAGTAACGACAGTTGAGTGCGTACCTAAGTGGGCTACAGAAAGAAACTGTATGAGAACAAGTCAAACTAGATTTTAATAAATCTTGTTTTTCAAGCCACAAATTCCCTAAACCAATTAGATATGCATCTACTTCTAAGTAAACCTCAATAAAATATCTCAAATCTAATTCAACTGACTAAATCACAAATAGCTAACTATCAAAGAAAACTGATCAACTTCACTGAACTCTATGATCAAGCATTATTTACATTAACAAAAATGTCTGTAGTTTGACGTTATATCCGAAAGAAGATTAAAGTATGGGTAACTTTAGTGAATTATTTATGAACTGTTATTATATGTTCTTATTATTTAACTATTAAGTAACTAGATTACATATATTTATATTTCTTTTATTATAAGTTTTCATTTGAAGTATTAGCTAATATTATACGATTTACTATTCTCAAGGTATTTTCAATCTATTAGTTAAAGTCTCCCGCACTCACAGCGACTTTTGGCTTGATCCTTTACAATTATATTTCATTTCATGGTATATAAACCACTTATGGCTGAAATATACGATCCATATGATGGAGACTGATATTTGTGTTTTGGAACCTAACAGGTTGTGTTAGGCGAGAAGCTATAACACAGAGGACCAATAAGAACTCAGAGTTGACTCAGGGCTGCTCGTGCTGATTAGCGTATCATTTTGTTTAGCACAGTGACTAGGTCATATAGGTCGGTGTTCTGACTGGCAAATTTGTCACATGATATTTGATGGGGCTTAAGATATAATATTTGCCGTATTAAATTCATCAGTTTTTGCAGCACCATCACATCAAAAAAGAAAAAAGGATCGGAAAACAACTTGTGAAACCCTACAATAAAAATAATCATGTCAGTAACTTGTTTCCAATCAATCTTGACAAATGTGTCACTAATTTTTCCTCCATTGTATTATCTGCTCGTCAAAAGCAGGCATTTTCTCTCGGGTTTTAATATTTCCGTCTCAATGATACAAATATCTATATTGGCCATCAATACTCAGTTTGGAAATCTCTATGATCAACTGATTAAGTCAGTCAGTAACAACGTAGAACTTCGTACGTACGTACATCAGTTCGAGTTGCCACACCACATTAGCACAGAGATGCAGTTGTCGATTCAAATCCCATAGTGGTAGAGGTAATAAGAGTATAAGCAGTAATCGGGAAGATTAGGGTTTGGAGATGTTATTTAAAGAGTATAATCCAGTGAAATAAATTTGGAAAGAGGAAAAAAGGGACATGAAGGATTCAGAAGATTAGAATTTGGGAGAACACAGAGAGTGGATGCACCCGCGCCATTGCAAACGATTTTGAGCCATGTCATTCAGGGTCTCTAACCATCGGTTGCTATCATCTCGCGGTCCCCAACCAGGTAGTCTACACCTACCTACATGACTCAGTCCACTTGTCAGTGACTTCATGGACTAGTGCCATGTTTTGGTTTGGCCGCCCCTAGCTTTCTTCCAACCTACTCCTATACCACTGAACATAGCACAACTGATTAAGTGCTGTGCTCCTTCGTCTTTAGATAATCAACGTTGGTGTAGAGCCGAACTGTTGGATGTGGTGTGTCAATTTCATATTCTTTAGTCAAATTAGAGAAGCATATTAAATTTTAAGAATTTCAAATCACTGAAAAAATTACGAAATAACCTTGATATTATCTTGATCAATTAATTTTTTTTCAAAATGAAATAAAAAATTAAAGATATGAAATACAAATTTGGCGAGACTATATTTTATGGACGAAATCATATTTACGATGATAAGTCAAGGCGGGAAATCCATTCATCCGTTAGGCCAAATAGAGTTTTGGCATTTTAGCTGATGTCAAATTGTGATGAAATCCCTAAATTTATATCCTAACTCTAGCCATCAACTGTAAATCTTAATTCTAATTTCTACACTGGTTTATAACCATCATTTAGTCCTAATTAGTAGATGGACGTTCTAAAGGTCATTTTAACATCGCTCAAAGGTCATTTATAATTTATAGTCTCACTATAAATTACGAGTTTTTGTAAACGCTTGTTTCCTCTCTCGAAATTGCAGATAAACGTTTCATTTCTATTTGCTATTACAGGTTTAAAGCACATAATTCCACACAACTTTACCCATAATTCATATTCTTCAAAAGGAGAGTGAAAAAGGTATAACTATTAAGAAGACTTAGAAACACGTAGTTTTTCTTTCTTTCTGCTGAAAACAGCAGGTATGACATGTAAGGAAACTCGCAGTAATTTTTTTGTATTTATATTTTCTCACTGATCTCTGATGATATCTGATTGGTTATTTTGCATTTAGTTTACTATACATCTCAAGGTAATATTTGTTGCTATATCTACAAAGTTGTTTGATAATTTTAAGTTTTGTTGGAAATATAAAAGCGCTTCTGAAATTCTCATTCTCTTCCTCTCGTATATGTGCATGCATTATTAATATTGAAGTGTTATAGTGTATTGGTGATCCGACTTATCTATTTCGTGTAGATTATGATTCATATTAGAAGGATATCCCAATCGTTTATAACTCGTAACTACGATATTTTGTTGTAAAATAGGACAATAAAAAACCATTATATTTAGACGTTTAAATAACAGACTAGCAACATTATATGTTTCATAGAAAGAATTTTTCAAATTAATTTTACTTACTTAGACTTCCATTGACTAGCTAATAGTCTATGATAGTACCGCTGAACAATACCAATTGTTTCAGTTAGACCAGTTATTGGGAAGCCTAAATTTTGCATAGTTCTTTCAAAAATAATTAAATAATCTTTTAATTTAATTAAATCATTCGGTGAATCACATGATTTTGCATTAACATGCACAAAATCTATTAAACGATTCACTGTATGTACCCATAATTCATCTAAATATGTTTGATAAAATACTGATGAACCAGATAATGTATGACGAATAAAATCATCAACTACAAAAAATCCACAAATTCCACTGAAAAATTCACCATAATTACGCATTTCGACCTGAGGACAAGAAAGAGAGGATAAAATTGAATTATGAGAAATAAACGGATGTTGGACAAGTTTCTTAGAGTAGATGTACGGTAACTGGCAGTGTAATCTAGAAGGTGTGTTTCATTCTATTTGCGATGAACCTATTTCTCAGTAACTGAATGGATATATATATATATATATCTTCCTTACAGTCTGTTTTCGGTCTAGCGAGCTCTGTTACTTTGCTGGTTCACCATCAGTTCTTTTTCTGAAAAGTTCCTGGATTTACCAAATTAAAATTAAGTGCTAATATATATCTCTTCAATTCAGAAAAATTATTACTACCAATCGAATTGATTATAATTTGTCTGATACTTGAATCGCATATTAATACACGTAAATCGAATTCAATATAAAAAATGTTTATGATAACATACTTTATACGAGATGGTTATTTACGATGTACTGGGAAACTAGACAGGCAAATAGATGATAGACAGGTGGTGCATGGCGCAAATATGTTTTGATCTAAGTAACCACATTTTACATACACTACACAATGGCACAATGAGAGGAAAAACTAAAAATAACACAAGAAACGAAAAAGTGAAGGAGGAGTGAAAAAAAAGAGAAAAAAAGTAGTGACCGAACAAACCGAAGGAAGTAAAATTACTACTGTATTTAAGATTTGAAGTAGAATAACAAAATAACTAATTAATAAGTCAATGATAGATCATCTTGATGTATCCATAAAAGATAAGCTTCCGCGTCTGGTCGCCTCTATGTGCATCTACAAGTTCACGTGCTCTTGTGGGGCAAGGTACATTGGCCGTAGCCAGCGCTCGCTTTCAACTCGGATACGGGAACATATCCCAGCTTGGTTCTATAAAGATTATTTGTTTGAAATATATATATCCCAAACCAATCAAAACAAAAATTAAACAATGACAGGTTTAAGGTCAACAATAACCAATCTAGATCGACGTCTACACGACAAACTGCGAGTCACATGTGGAGAAATTTGAACACTTCACTTCTACTTGAAGTTGGTGCTAATGATGTCGTTCAGAATAACGATGAAAGTTCCACGACTAAACCATCCAGCTCAGAGAACAAAACTCTATCAAAATCATCCACCTGAGCTACAAATCTTCTCCACCATCTCTTAGGATAGCAAACATAACACGTATTCACAAACCGAATTACAGTAAATTGTAATTATTTAAAAAAAACCCAAATTATATTGCAGATTTGTAGGTAACCGGCAAGAAAATTTATACCTATGTTATATGTTAGCTAATTTCTATTACAATAAGGTGTATCACCATTTTGAAGAAATCAGAATTAATTCACGAGATTGAAGCTTGAATCTTCAAAATACTTTGGTAAAGACTTTAATACTGAACTACTTAAGTCACATAGCAAACCTGGATTTAAGCATTATTCCATCAGTACTACGAATTTGTTATATCTTGTGGCCTTGTGCCCTATTAATATATAACGTAAGGATACCGTCAATTAGAGAACAGTGATTTATCGACAGAACAAATGATGGATAAAACCCATACGAGCAGTCTAGATTCCTTATCGATCCTACTTCCCACCTAGCACTGCCTGAAAGAGTCCAGAACACCAATATCAGACTCCGCGATATCAATCATTTATTTCAAACATACTGGGTTTATATACAAACCAAACAGACCACATCATACCATAAAATAGAAAATAACATTTGTACAAGATTTAGCCAAAAGTGGCTGTGAATGTGGGAGGTAGTAACAGATAGACCAGGCATAATTCAAGAATGGTAAATCGTATAATAATAGTCTATGGGTCAAAATAAAGCCTATGATAATAAGAACATGCATAGTTTAGCGACTTAATAAATATACAGTAAAAATATATGTATCGTATTGGTTCATAAATAGTTCTGAAGTGTTACCATTCATAATTCTTCGTCAGGATATAACAATTAAATAACATAATGTTAAGATTTAACTATTTATTAATCCATTCTAGTAACAATGATTATTAATAATATTGACAAATGAATTACAATAACCAAATTCATTTTATTTATGAATTATTATCAAATATATCACAATTCATACCTAAACTATAAGACTTTCACTTCAAATGACGAAATGGTAACGAACAAATTTTATTAAAGAAATATAGAACCGTTTAACTATTTCTATATACATAGTTTAATAAAATATGACATTATAACCATAAACATTGAATAATGAAAATTAAATTAAAAGATAAATAAAGAATTTATACTTCAAAGTTTTATTATAAGTGAGTTTAACTAAACTCTAAATAGTAAACAAACAAACAAACAATCAACTTGTAAATAAACGTAAAAATAAACAATCTCTTCAGTCAGATTCTGATAACAGTTTAATGATCATTCTTATAAGCCGGGCGGGGGGTAAGGTTACTTGTTTGACAACTGAGGCTTTTAAACTGGATGTTAACATTGAGTTTATTTCAATATTAGTTGATGTAGTACAGAGTTAAGAATTTGAAAACGTTAGAAAAGATATACATTCAAGTAATTCGAGTATAATATTATCAACTATTCAGCGACAAGCATTATTACTTGATCTTAAATTTTGTAATATGTGAACTAAAATTAATGATCATTATTTAGTGTTTTCAATAATATTGACTTAAATTAGTAAAATTAGATGGTTTTAATTATAGATTTCATATAATTTACTAAATGTATGCTAATTAGACTGTAAAATATTAGAATAATAATGAGTATTTCCAGCTTGAAAATCACCAATTCATGTGATGACAAACAGTCCTCATTTAGAATGTAGATATACATACATATGTGTTATGTCCTACAACCGACCAATAAGGGTAGACGACCTTAAGCAATTAATACAAAACAAGGACAAGGCGATCGATAGTCGATAATGATGCTTGATCCCACACCAACTAGACTCGAACGAAGAGGAGGAATAGAAGGACTAATGATCATCAGTCTAAGATCATTATTATATTTCAGACATGCAAGACCAGAGGGCACAGTAGACCAATTGAGTAACAGCATTAACACCGAATAACAAAATGAATGATGGGAAAAAACGGAGAATTGGGTACGAAAATAATCGGTTTTAGTTTATCAGTGGAAAATGCCATAACAACAATGTACGGTTCAAATAGATACTTGTTGTTAAGGTAATATGAAAATAATAAACCCAAAATATTTATTAAGCATTCAATCAATATATACATAAATAAAATTGTACAAAAGTAGCATCGAAAGTTTTCGTCTCATCTCATACAACAACAAGCATGAAAATATCACAACGTGTTTTGATGACTGAGAGAATTCAGATGATAAGTTTTAGTGTAAGAAAAAAAGGTGAAGCGAGAAAAGCATTTCAGTGGTAGCTTTTTTAAAAAAAGACCAATACATGATAAAATCAACTAATAGCTTGGATTTTAAAGAGTAACCAAGACCATTACTTCAAAAGAAGACAAGCTAAGAGAAAGTGAGAATATGACAAACATCTTATGGTTTAATAATTTTCTCCAGAATATTATTAAAACCATTGTAAAACAAAACTTTTTTCTGTAAATAACAATCCTAAAGAAGGATCTTGGATTGATACTGCGGTTTTACCTTACCGCCAAGATACGACAGAAGAATCAAAAGGGAAATTGAAAATTTACAACATTAAAAACTTCTACTAGATAACTAACACTCTAAGAAACGCTTTAGTTAGAATAAAAGTTCCCATTCACTTCTACACAAAATTGTGTTTACAGGTTAGATTGTGTCAACTGTGATGCCGACTTGTGCCAAGGAACACTCAAGTTACACAAAAAGACCTAATAATACTGTAGAATCGGGGAATTTACAAAATAAGTCAACAATACCAGTAATAATCGACAAACATATTAAAAAAATCAAAGCAATTCAAAAAGGTTTTCCTAACTATAATGAGAGGCGAGTAGACGAACCGTTTCATATAATGCTAAATTATTCTGCCTGAACAGGAAAGTCTGAATATTCATTCAATGTGGACTGTTTATACAAGCAACCACATTGATCATATTTATTTCCACACAATATATATAAATAAGACATACTAGTGTTATACAGAATCAATTTACAACGCATTACAGCTGATCATTTATGTATCTTTATAGAATGGATTTTTTTAAATGGTTGACGCATTCTAAAATCCTGCTATAAATTCTCACCATCATCTTAACAGGTTGTTTAAACTTGTGACCTTGCGTCCTATTACTATATAACGTAATGACACCGCGAATTAGAGAACAGTGATTTATCGACAGAACAAATGATGCATATATATATATATATATATATATATATATATATATATATACTCCCAGCCTCACTACTTAATACTACAAATGTATACACCTTTTTATACCCACCTTTTGACATACAAATTAATACAGTGACAGGTCATACAAATTCAGCTTGCCAAAAATAACTTAACACTGATATGTTCAGACCGATTATGATTTTCATTACACTAAAAATATTCTGCATTGTTTCCTTTGTACTATATAAACTTGTGTTAATTTTATTTCGGTTATTTATTTACTCTGAAGAAGTGGACTAAATGGAATCACGAAATGTCGGAAATATAATTTATGGACCAATATTATAAGTATATTTCCATCATATAATTGTTAAGTAACTAAACTATTCATATCCGTGTTCCTCTTATTATGAGCTTTATTTTGACCCATAGACTATTATTATACGACTTACCATTCTTGAGTTATGCTTGGTCTATTTGTTACTACCTCCCACATTCACAGCCACTTTTGGTTAAACCTTGTACAAATGTTATTTTCTATTTTATGGTATGATGTGGTCTGTTTGGTTTGTATATAAACCCAGTATGTTTGAAATAAATGATTGATATCGCGGAGTCTGATATTGGTGTTCTGGACTCTTTCAGGCAGTGCTAGGTGGGAAGTAGGATCGATAAGGAATCTAGACTGCTTGTATGGGTTTTATGCATCAT